AGCCCCCTAGTGGCCGAAGTCGTTATGACTCGTCTGTCTGCAGCAAAGGACGAAGTAGTGTGGTGTTTTTATAGAGCCACAAAGTCCAATCAGAGAGGAGGTCAAGGTGGCTGGACGGGACAACAAACGTCTGACTTTAACGCGGTCCGTTTCCCATTTCCTACCGAAAGTCAACAAGGGTTTCTTTTTAACTTCGACTATCCTGTAACCATGGCAACAAAGGTTCCCTAACCTCAAAGAAGGAGTAACTTTAACCCAAACCATGATCCTTCCCTAAATAGCTGATATTTATATTTTAATTTTACTGTTATTAGTATTATTCTAACATTAATAACTAGTAAACCTTTGGATTTTAAGGAACTGACAAACAATATTATACATGTTTCCAATAGATGAGATCAGAAAACAGTTATACTGTTCTAGAGGGCATAGAAATACCCTGTATTGTCATTTTGAATAAATTGGGTGGGTTTTTATTGTGAAAAATCCTGTAAAATTCTACTCTAATCTAACACTAATCAACAAATCTGTCAATGACACAACTAAACCCACGCCCAGGGGAGAGCAGCATGCCACATTTGGAAAGATTCATCCATGACAAAGAAAATGAGCCACTGAACCAGAAAATTAATACGAAGACATTAATGTCATTTCTAGCTGCTGATGACAAAAAAAAGAAGAAAAACACACCAGCAGAATTAACACCTGCTGTAGCTCTATCTATCTAACTCACCAAGGGACTAAAAGATATCGGGTGATTAAATATAATCATCCTGTTTAGTAAAGAAAAATGTCTTGACAACTGACGACAACACAAAGAGGACCTATAGCTAACATCACAGCCACGTGTCAGAGTCATAACGGTGCTTATTCACTGCTTTCTTTAAATATGTATTACTCGTACTTTATCTCACTTACATGACTCGGTGGGTTAGAACAAAACCTAACACTGGCTGAGTTATAACAGATGTATTAGTGATATGGATCCATTATGCTCTTGACTCATTTGAATAGACTCTGCCTGTCAAGGGGGAAACAATTATTTAAAATGTGAGTCGAAGACAGTTTTCCTGAGGACAGCATGTGCCATGATAACTTCCGCTAAGAACAAAGACTAATTCGACACCTCGTCAAATGTGTCTCCGTTATGAGGAACTCTCTGGCTGCGACGGAGAGATTATTTGCCTCATTGTTTGCGTTGTAAATCTTGTAAATTAACCAGAGTGCTAGTGGATGTCATCTCTGATTAGTGTCAACGGGCTTCTAATGAAGATGTTCAACCTGTAGGCGTGTTGCAGCTCTGCACCCACTCTGTAAACTTCCGTCTTAACAGGAACATAGGTTTAAGGCAACAAAACCACTTAGTTAGGTTTAGGATAAGAGCGTGGTTGACGTTAACTTGACTGACTTAAGACTGTGACTGATTGACAAACGATGTTTGCTTTTAGTTTGACACGGGACATGAACAGCTGTCTCCTGGATGAAAGTCCTGTGTTTGTTTGACCCTCCTGCCCTGTATGAACTAGTAAAACCTTTATACCATACAGTTGATCTGACTGTTTGATAATAACGCGGGTGGGTTTACATTGTTGACCAACTGTCTGTATTTATCTAGAATAGAAGTATAAAGTGGCATGAGAGGAGAATAAAAGTAAAGTACAAGTACCTTATATTTGTACTTGAGTAAATGTACGTAGTTACAATCCACCACTGGTGATAAGAGAGTTTTCTCACAGCGTGGCAGTTTTACACAAGAGCATCTGGACTTTAAAACTTTATCGGAAAAGAAAAGTTCTGCAATCAAACTATTTTACAGAAAGACACATATGGCAGAAATGACTAAGCCTTATGAAATGGAAAGCTTGTTAAAGGATCACTGAGAAGCAGAATCAGCAGTTTGGAAAATAGGATTGTGTTGAGAGTGTGAGGAATGGATCTGCTGTTGTTTTGGAGATCATCAGACTGTGGTCAGAACAGCAAGACCAGACATACGGGCCCCCGATGAGCAGACGGACAGCCAGCCGGAGGAAGCAGAGGAGGTGATCCAGAGTGTGGCCACTCCGTGATCAAGAAGCAGTGATAAGGAACAACAGAGGAATGGATATGGAGAACTCCTCCAACACACTGAGAAAAGGCCTGTCTGTCTGCCTGCCTGTCTGTCTGTCTGTCTGTCTGTCTGTCTGTTTGCGTGCCTGTCTGTCTCTGTCCTCTGCTGGATTGCCTGTGAATTTCAGCGCTGACGTATATGATCGGGCTTTTCAGCTCGGTCTGAAAGGAAAGGGAAGAGAAGCCAACAGAGGAGGATGATTTATCCCGCCCTGTTCCTATAATGTCACACTAACTCGCAGCAGCATGGAAAATGAATTACCAAAGATGGGGGAAATGACAGTAAACATATCCTGGATGATTTTCTGGGTATAAGGGGAACATTATCAGGTCTGGAACCGATGATAGTACAGGGAAACTCATCTGGATGTAAAGGTTAAAAGTAAGGGGCTCTGTGCTGACAGTCAATCTCTTACTCTGTTTATTGGAGCTTCTCCAAGCTTTGCATCTTAATGAGATGGGTTTTTTCCTCTCTGGGAGAAAGTTGTTAATGAGGAGAAAACACTGAATAATGTCTTGTGCCATTAGAAACGTACAAAATAATATAGGTGCACTCTTAAATGTTCAAGTAATCTCTTCAAACAGTAGACAGTTTCTTTTTTTTTTTATTATGCAAGCTTTTTGTTGGGCTCAACAATATGTTTTGCAGTAATTGTTTCTTTCCCTGAACTGGGCCTCTGGAGCAGCGCTACCTCCCAGGCTGCATACAAATCCCATCTCCGATTGGCAGACCCAAAGTTGAACTGTGGCCCGAACCTTAACCTCAATATCCAAAACCAAACAAAGCCATTTAATTGGTGGATCTTGTTGGGGGTGCTGCACAGCTTCAGACGGGTACGAAGGTCCGGGCAAAAGAAAAAGGTTTGCAAATGTTGCACATTGTCTTTTAGGGAATTTTAAGATGTTTTTATCTCTTCTTCAAGAGAGAGTGCACTCCAAATACCTTGATATACTGTTTAAAAACATGCACAGCTAAGCAGTGACTGCAGGGCGGATGGAGATGTGCATAATAAAGGAGGGAAAAAGCAGTAACAGAAGGATAATAAAGTACAAATATGCTCTGGTGAAGGCCATCGAGCCGAAATTTAGGTTTTTCTGAAACACTTGTAAACCTGTACATGTGTGCTACCAATAAACGGATGATTTTCATTGTTGCCAATATGATAAGACTTCTACAATTCACCTGTCTTCATACCAGAATTAATATGTCTATAGTGCCTTACAGTGAAGGTTGAGACAGGTATTTTTTTTTGTTCCTCCTGGATAATCACTAATGCACACATACTGTGACTGCTGATGGAGGATTACACTGCAGATGGTGTGATATTGCTCAAAGGATACAGACTGGGTGGAGAATTTGTGCTGCAGAAATGTATTGAATCTGTTCGCTCACTGTGAGAATTAATAGGAACAGCCAAAGAAAAGGAAATGTGTTTTCCCAGCGAAGGCTTCAGATGGGTGTCCCAGAGCACTTTGTTTTAGAGCTTCGAATGATCCATTTGCTTGTTTGTTTTCCAAAAACTAAATGAAATGGTTCAAATTAAATTTTTAGGGGCTCAGTGAAACAAATCTATGTGAGTGCAGCTGTTTTTAACAAGTGTTTCAAGAGAATCTGAGTGGTCTTCAAAGAGTTGAACATCTTTCCATAGTGGGATTTTGTCATTTGCTACTACTCTGGTTTCACGTTTGGTGTTTTGACATCCAGTCAAGATATGAATTTGAAGAGTATCACCTCAATTAGTGCACATCCTCTAATTGGAAGAGGCGTTTGAAGTAGATGTGGCTGTTGGATTCGGAGGGGATCCAGAGGGTTATAGAGTGGAGCTTAACAAACCTTCAGCAAAACACAGACTGGCATAAAGAATTAAATGACTAGCGGAAATGGAGGCTTTTTTGGTGCAGGAACCTTACAATATGATGACTCATATCACTCGAGGATATCTGTGCAAAACAGATCATTTCTGTCTTTTTAAATCTGGAAGAAAAACCGCTCCTTCCCATCACATCAATCGAAACACTCCTCAAGAAACAAATTTGTTTCAACACATTGAAACAGCTGTATTCAACAGCCTGCAAGCTTCAGAAATGTGAGCAGCAATTATTCTCTGACAGCGATGCACAATCAAGCGAGGCGTCGCCACACCATTTGACTCGCCGGGGCGTCATGTCTCACTTGAGAATGATTAAATGCAAAGATGGATTGCCACCGATTCATGCAAAGCAGCCGGCGAAAGCGCACAGCCTATACGTCCACCATCTCCACTGACTCACAGGAGTTTAAAGCGGAGGTCTGTCTTCATCAGTGCGTTGATTAGACCTACAGACTCCTCATATCTGTGTGTGAGTGAGGAACAACAGCAAAGCCAAGAGCGGAAGCGAGGGGCTTGCAGAGGGGGCTCCCATAGACACAGCTGATGAAGGGGTTCATTGTATTGCCAAGTCCCCCCCCCACCCCACCCACACACACACACACACAGCAGCTCCATGAGAAACGCCAGCCTCAGTCCTAAATCCTCTCAGAAAAGGTGATTCATCTGTTGTCTGTGATCAGAGAGGGACCACAGTTCTTCCCAAAGCAGGGATAAGCCCCCCAACGGACGCAGAAGAGAGGGTTTGTAAAGTCAGTGTATGTGTTTATGCTCCATCACAAATGCCACCACACAAGACAAAGATAACCTCCGTTGGCTGCACTTCTCCTTCCTCACTTGACGACAACAAGCTTTTTAAATCACACCAACATGCCTCCGCCTATCTTTATAGACAATCAGATGCGTGCAGCATACTCTCACAGGCAGCGGCCACAACACACAGCTGCATAACTCTGTCACACAGCACCACTCCTAAACGCCACTGACTCTATATGTGACACTGTAGAAGAAGGCGGACACTCTTACCTTTAAGTCCTCCTGATATAAGTGAGCCCAAAGTAGAGTAAAATAACTTCTGCAATATCTGATGCCGTCCAGTTATTGGTTGTTGTTTTTTTCTTCTTCTTTTCTTCCTGCGTCTTTGTTTGGCAGCGCCGGCTCCGGTGAGCACTCGCCTCCTGTTTGAACGCCGCTTGCCAAAACCAAGCGCACGGATGAAATATGAAAAAAGAAAGAGAGAAGAAGAAGAAGACAGGTGTGTGGGAGTAAAAACGCCGGTGTGAATTCGGAGGTGTTGTCAGTTGTGGTGGCAATAAAAAAAGCGCCCTGTGCAGATGCGGTGCTGCTCGAGGTTTGAACAAATCTCCTGTTTCTCGAGCAACTCCTGCGGCTCAGACGCTGTCCAGTAGCGAGTGGTGCTGAGTGAGACTCCAGGGGTTGCAGTATAGCTACATCTCCTACTTTTCTCTCCTCCTCTTCCTCTTCTTCTTCCTCTCCTGCTGCTTCTGCACAGATCTTCCCTCCCACGTCGTTGGATTGGAAACTATCTCTCTCTTTTGTGTGTGTGTGTGTGTGTGTGTGTGTGTGTAAACGCTACAAATTACCAAATGCGAGCTTTGTCTCGCGCTGGCAATGCTGGCAACGCATTCCACAACAACAACAATAACAACAACAACAAAAAGCAGGACAGGGAACTGACTGCGCAAAATTGATGCTTAAAAAAAATGCCATCGAAATGTTAAACAAAGCAATGAACTAACCCCGAGGGCGAGGCTAGGCGTCTTTAATTGGAATTAGACACACACACACAAAAGATGGACGTTTCCAATTTAAAAGACAGCCTTCATATATGGTTGTAAAAAAAACGTGGATTGGTTTGAAAGCCGGTTTGAAGCAGCTGTCCAGTCATTTGAAGAGTTTTTTTTGTTTTGTTATTTGTGAGGCAGAGGAGACGCTCAGGCGCGTCAAAGAGCTGATGGTTGTCACGGGGACGTTGCAGAGATCACAGCCTGCAGGTGTTTCAGGTTTAGGTGTGTTGATTCGCATCACACCTCCCCTCACGAGCTCTGCACGCTGCTCCTGATGTGTGCAATAAAGAGGAATTACGCTACCATGAAAGGCATTATCTATATGGCTGCAGACAGACTGACGCATCTTCGCCTCGCTGGGCGGTTTTATCACGATGTGTGTCAGTGTATGGTTGTTGCATCTGATCCTTTATGGGTATGAGTGGAGGTATGAGGATTCACTTAGTTAAACAACCCGTGCAGAGGGGGGGGGGGGGGGCCCTCCTGGTTTATGTCCTCGTGAGTGCCGTGTGGTCCACACTCAATGTGCAACACACGCGTATTGAATTTCACTCTTAAGGCGCCGACTAGCGCATCTGTAGGTGCACTGCGGCCGCTCCTCAGCACAAACTGCATGTTACGCCACACACATACACACACACACACACACACACACACACACACACGAAGACACTGGTCAATCACACACAAGCACACGCCGCTCACTCCCGACTTTTATGTACTGTTCACCGTTCAATGATTACCCCGGATCATCCCTCGGGTAATTTCGACTTGATCATTGGAATCGCTTTTTCTTTACATGTTTATCATTACCGTGCTGATTGCAGCCATTGATTCATCAGTCTGATCAGCTGCACCGCGCGTTCTTCTCGTAATGAATGAACAGAGCCGACCCAGCTGCTTCAGTCTCCAGCAGCTGTATAGACTGCAGCATTGTTCTGGATTTTGACACGAAGTTGTACATTTTCAAACATATCTGCACCAAACAAAGTAAATTATCTGAAACGAATGGCTTTATTAATGGTCATACACCATTTACTAATGCTTTATGCATCAACTATGGTTATTAAGAGTAGCTTTCAGGTTGCCAGGTTGTTGAAAATCCTGACACAAATTCATCAGGAAGACCCCTCCATTGGACTATTGCAGGACATCTGGACCAAAATCTGCAGATCTGATAAAATAGGATGGACTTTATTATTATTATTATTATTATTATTATTATAACCACCAGTTGTATCTACATGCGTAGCCTTACAGCCTAATATTTGTTATTTATTGACAGTTGAAGATGACTGAAAGTGAGACATTATCACTTGTAAATGCAGAGTGAATGATTTAAGAGCAATTACCATTTCTTAACTGCAGACTCAATGGCTTATTGTTTCCAATGTTTCCGCTCATTTCGTGACTAATGCAGAGTCTGACAAGCTGTTGATCTGCGTTCCACACTTTAGAGCGAACAGTACTGTGAAGGTGAAACGTTTACAAGAGATGTTTTAATTACATTTTCAAGGTGGAACGTTCTCCTTCTGTTGTTTGAATGAAGACTCAGTGTGCATCAGTGTATTCTGTTTTACTCGGATATTAGTACCACAGCAGTGCGTTTCCATTTATTAATTATGCCGTTATAAAGGTTGGAATCCATTACCTTGCTCTTATGTTGTTTTTGTTGTTGTTTTTGTCTATCTTTTTTGAACATTTTGATATCCAGACCAGTACAAAACAGGCTGACAGACCACACAGTATCAAAAGGGAAGGATATCTCACACATTAAAGAAGATTGTGCCGCCCAGCTATTGTTCGAGGTTTACAGTCTTTCCATTTCAACAATATTGCACAATAAGAATACATGGAGGTCTTTTGGAATGTATACTTTTAAGCTGTGTTCATCTATATATATATTCAGGTCCAAACACAATGAATACAACTCCCAGCCTCAGCATAACATTTCATACAGAGTTCAGATTTATTGTGATCCATTTTATTTCTAAGCTGGGGAGTAATCTGCCAACGGTCTGGTAGTGTAAATTGAGTTTCCTTCGTCATATTACAAGCCGAAATGTTATTTGCCGATTTCCATATTTGTAACCAGGTAGCTTCATCAATGTCTATATTTAGGTCATTATTCCAATCTTTGGGCAAGACTGCAGGTTTGCCGTTATCATGTTTAGAAAGAGCTCTACACCTGATCCCCAGAATGCCTTTCTTCCTTCCATCAAAAACTATGTTTGCTCAGAGTTTTTTACAATCCATCAATTCTGCAGTTGGAGGATTATCCCCAACCTGGCTTCACAAATGTTGTTTTTATTTATGGCTCATAACTGATCTATAAAGCATTATTGAATGACTTATTGACCATCAATAAAGCCATAAATGACATCTTCTTAAAGGGTGCCTTTTTAGAAAGTAGTGCCGACATGTCAAAGATCATAATTCCTCTTTATTATGGTGCATTATGTTTATCTTCACATTCCTTTTAACAACTCACAGGGGTGAACCAAATCTGTGTGGTGTAGCAATCAGCAGGTATGATATATCGAGCAATTGCAGGAGTCTGACAGTGACTTTATTCTTACGAGCAGTACATTTATACAGGACTCCCAGTCTACTACTTCTGAAAATACTCCCAACACACACTGTTCTCATTTGCGTCCTAATTCCCACCCAAACTGCAGGCCTTTATGAATTATTGTGCTTTATGTAAGAGGTGAATAAATATTGGTTCTCAGAGAGAATTCGATTTGTACCTCCTTCCCCAGCAATGCTTAATAAATTATGCAAAAACATACCCTGTAAACAATTTGGAAAACAATCCTTAGATAGTGGAAGACGAGACGGTTTGCTTGTCTACACGTGTAGTCTTGTGGGAAAACGCTGTGATACACTTGGGATATCCTCGTGTTTGACACAGCTATGCCATGACTGTCTTGTGCTAGGATTTTATTATTTCATTTTAACTTTGTTTGGCCAGAATACAGCACTGATTAGAGATAAAATCACAAAGCCACAGCTTCAATACGAAAAGCTGGAAGAAAGTTGTTATATCTGAGTTTCAGTGCATTATGTTTTTCCTCACCTCTTGACTGGAACAGTTACAGGCTATTTTTCAGAGCATTTTCACAAAAATAATGAGTAACACAATCAGAAATTGAGACTGGAAGGTATAACAGTGTTTTTAACAGAACAAAGTTTTATGAATTTCAAAACACAAAATGTAACCTTACTGGTCCACAGTCTTAATTATTGAATCAATGAGGGCCAACCCAGAATTAATAGATAATTAAAGTCTCTGTATTTTCACCTTGGAGAGTCACATGAGCTTGGGAGTCCATCAATTATTCTGCTCTACCACCAACCATGATCCATCTAAATTGGGGTGGGCAGCAGGATTTGATCAGCTCCCCTCTGGTGCTGCAGTGATGGACTCAGGATCCCGAGAGTGATTCAGTCTCGGTAAATGCAGAGTCACGCTCTTGTTTAAAAGCCAAAATAACAGATGAATCAAGGTGAGTTGTGCTCCGATATGTCTTTGGAATAAAACAGGTAATTTCCCTGTGAGGTGTGATGCTGCTCAACATGGCTGAAGACTCTTTACGCAGCAGATGAGATGCACTGTAAAAAAAATTCTGTGTAATATACGGTAAATTACCGGCAGCTGTGGTTGCCAGAAATTCACCGTAAAAAATAAAGTGAGAATGTGTAATACATCACGGTATATCTTTTTTGCAACCGTAGATTTCACAGTTGAGAACTGTTTTTTGTTTACGATAAATTACTATAAAAAACAAGAGATTTCATAAACCTGTTTACGGTAATATGCAATTTAACGGTAAATTACCGGCAGCTGTGGTTGCCAGAAATTCACCGTAAAAAATAAAGTGAGAATGTATAATACATCACGGTATATTATTTTTGCAACCGTAGATTTCACAGTTGAGAACTGTTTTTTGTTTACGGTAAATTACTATAAAAAACAGAGATTTCATTAACCTGTTTACGGTAATTTGCTTTCGAAATAACAGCCATGTTATAAACGTGTTTACGGTAAATAACTTTATAAACAGCAACTATACTGTGAAGCTAATTACAGTTTTTCTCAGTAAAAAACACAGTACAACTGTATGATACATTACGGCATTTTATTGAAAAATGCAACTTAACGGTAAATTACCGGCAGCTGTGGTTGCCAGAACTTTACCGTGAAAAATATAGTGACAATGTATAAGACATCACGGTACAAAAATAAGGTACAACGTAGAATGTAATACAATTGGTTGGCATAGATTTCAGTCAACTTCTGATTATTGTAAATTACAAAGGAAATATCAAATAAAGCATATTGTAAATCAAGGTACAGACCATCATTGATATACCTTAAGAAACTAACATTCTCTGTGAAAAACAGGTTGAACTGAAACAATATCTTGTACAATATACTCACAAAGCAGTGTTGAGATCTTGAAGAAACAGCATGTGTCCATATATATGAAGGATAACCATGAATAAACATGAAAGGATTAGCCACTTGCCCTGAGTTGATCAAGAGTAATGAGTCACTGAGTCCAGACTTGACTGAAGAGGGCACTCAACATGGTATAGCGTCTCACATGGACATGAAGTTCAGGAAGCTGGAACTTGAAGCGTGTATTTTCACCAGTTCTGCTTGAGGACTCGTATGTTGACCATCAGGTATTCACTGTGGACTCTGCAGCCAAAAACAGAAACA